TTAAAAAAAAGACAAAAACACCGTTAAACCAAAAAGGCGAAGTTCAGAATGGCAGTGTAACATTAGACTACCATCTACCACTTAACCCTGCTTCTTTACTTCTTCTTGATTAGTCATAATGGCTAAAAGTTCATAGGATGAATTGGAAATGAGGGAAATGTAGAAGAAGAAAAAAATCACAAAAAAATTCGTCCCAACATTACCTTCAGCAAAGAAAGACTAGATCATTCTTTTTCTTTTACCCCTAATAACCTCGTGTTAGCTTTTGAGAATAGATCTTTGTATTTGAATTATGAAATTTTAAGGGAAAGTGCTTCCTAACAAATAGATTAAACGTACTTAAAAAATAGAATGCGCATAGGCAGACCAAAAAGGAAATTTTAATTTTTCTATCCAGGTTCAGGTAACATAGCTTCCCTGTCTCCCTGTTCTTTTTACAGTTCCGCTATGAAAGCAATGACAGTTTACGAGTTTGTATTTGTTACAATACAAATTTAAACCTATGACGATGGGGGGTAAAAAATACGTTGGTGGTGAAGAAGAAATGATGGTAAAAAAGGATTGGTAAAAATGGGGGCGAATCATTAAATTTTCTTTTGAAAACGTCAAAGTTGCTTGATAATGCTTGTTCAATCAATCTATAACTGGGAAAGCTCTTTATATAAAAACATTTAGATATAACCATATCTTTTCTAATGTTGCAAAGAATATAATTTATAACAATCCATCTGGATCGTTTTGACACAATCCAAACTCAAATCTGTACTTATTTTTTTCTTACCAACAGTAATTATAGACAATTGTTCTGTCGTTTTAATGATGCAAAGCTCTATATAACCATTGAATAAAATTTTATTCAATCATATAACGAATAACTTTACTTCAATCAAATAATAGTCGCCAAGTACCGTTGGGCAATTACAAATCCACCGTTAAAACCATTTACGCGATTTTAAATAATTTTGTATTCATCGCAATGTCATTTGTATACGACTGACTACCTTGAAAAGGGACAGTTACGGGACTCCGGCAATAAGCCTGGATCGTGAAATGGCCTTAATGTATTGAACAAAACACGTTGAGGAATTAGGGTAACCCCCTTAAGGGCGTATCTAGAATTTTAGGGGGTGTAATAGAAAAATACAAATGTGAGATATAAAGACAGGAAGAGGGGAGTTTAAAATATTTCCAAAATATACATTTTTGAAAAGATAAGCAATTGGAATTTTTTTGGTTACGCACAAACACATCTTGACATTTGATACTAAATTATAAGCGAAACGTTTTGTACCCTCCGTTTACTGAGAAATGTTTGTTTCTGGTCCCCTCAACAACTCAATTACTCCAGATAGCTCGGTACTACCCAACATTTTCCAAAGAACTAGTAAAATTTACAAGATAGAAGCACACAACCCTCTCGGTGGTCAAGATTGTCGATAAAATCCACCCTTACCGCACTTAAAGACTTCATTTAGTAACCTACTCAGCAATTATATGCAAATAACGACTTCGCATGCAATTAAATCCAATTCCAGTTATTAAAACCAGCCTTTCATGAAAATATGAATTACTAAATCTATTCGATAGCGTTAGTCGAAGCATGTAAAGGGTTTATCTAGTGGCGATCTGAGACGAAACATGCACGATGTTGTTGGGGGATTAAAAAGAATGTTAAAGGCAGGAAACTGTTGTTTTTCGCTGCAATTAGACACACCATAATGGCGGCTGGACCTCGAGGGCCTTACGCAATTGCAACTATTTCGGTTTGATGATGGATTAACGGTACGAAGAACCGGTTATAGCAACTGGAAGTGGATGTTATACAATTTTGCTCAGCCGATCTCATTTGTAATGCACATCTTTCCTGAAATTCCTGGAACATCACGCTCGGACCGACTAAAGAAAGGATGTGAAGAATGTCCGGATATGCATTAAGTGCACTAGGATGTTTGTGGACACGTCACATTTACATTAAAATTGTTTTGTTTCAAAGCGCATTTGCACAACCAGTTTTACTCTTCTGAATTAAACAACATTCCGCTTATGGCAAATGACAACAAAAGATTTTGCCATTAACATTCATTATGAAGCTTCTAACAACTGTACGATTAGGTATAAAATCAAAGATTATATTATATCCTTGATCGTTAATCTCGTAACGATTTTTACGTGCACCGTTAATGGACGTTGCGCAACCATTTCCCAAGGCAATCTTTAAAAGAGAATTTTCCATAGGACATCTTTTCTTGGGTAAAAAGTATAACGCTTCGCTTCGGTCATTGTTCGCCATGACGTAACAGTTTAAAACTCTCTCGAATGGCAATGATCTTTATTCCTCGTATCCAAGGATATCTTCCATCCGTTGCAAAGCTGTGGCGGTTACTTTTTAAATTAGAAGAAATGTATGAGTAACGAAAGAAGTTGTTATTTAGCTGCTGCCTAGGTAATGCGTTAGCTTTTTTCCGAATGTCAGATTATTTCCACTAAACATATCCCATTATGTACCATATTATGAAATCTGGAAATCCCTTATTTGAAGCAAAACCCTTTAAAATTCCTCCTTTATGAAGGAATTTCTTTTGCAATTCCGCTACCAAAGATTTCGAAATTTGGGGGTCAGAACAAATACAAAAAAAATATTTCAAGTCACTATGTCTAACGAAGTTTCAAACGTGCACGCCGTGGTAACAAAATCCTTTAAAGGTCAACTCTGAATCCGCACGAACTCTGTAGAAGAATTAGTTTCAAGCTGAAATATTGAAGAAAAATTTCATAATTTAAAAGACATCAATAGCTTTATAATTAAATTTCTAAGGTATTTTAAGATTTGAAGGCTAAATAGCGCCACCGAACTTTGAGAAGCTTTGGAAGCTTTACATTCAAACCTGATTCTGAAACGTCTAGTGCTAAATTCCGCGCACGAAGCATGTAGAGTAAATTATTTCAAACGGACATTATGAATTAAATGCAGAACCAGCAGAATTCGCTTCTAATCGACAACCGAACATTTGGAAACGCATTAATTTTTCATATAATTAAAGCCGGACTACGATCTACGTCAGCTTCTGAAAATAAAGTTTGTTCAAACGTTTATTTGAAATTCAAATGGTCCATTTTAAGTATGAACTTAAAAAATATGCCAAATTCTTGACAGAACCAAAAAATCGCGATTTTAGAAGGGTTTCTTCAAAGAATAGAATCTTTATTATTTTCCGGTGTATAATAAGAATATTCAATAAAAAGTACAGGTTTCTATTTGAAAAAATTAGTTGCCCTACACTATAGCCATAGACGAGTAATACGTATGCCAAAAATTTAGTCTAATCGATTCAACATTAACAGTGCCCTTTTGGCATCTTGACCATTTTATGAACCGAATTGCATGAAATTCAAACTGGGAATAGCCAGTGGCATATAATATGTCATGATGCCAAACTTTAAGTTCAGTCAATTCAAAAACACACAACATTTAACCTCTCCGTCATATTCAAATGAGGTATGTACCCGACAGTGTATCTTCCGTATCGAACACCAAAATGATTTAGAGTCAATTTACTTTATTTGTATTTTTAATCAATAATACATTTTAATCATTAATTTCGATATTCTTTCAAGTTTCAACAACCCTCTTATAGGAAAAGCACAGCAGGCAATTACATACAGTCCACAAAAAATACATTTGTACCTATCGCAAAGCGCTAACAGCCCTACAGTATTTTTCTGTAGGTAATTGGAACAAATAAGTTTATATATTTTTTTTATTTGTATAACTCGATCAACCGTTGCAATTTTAAACCACACCCAACTTTTGTTATTACTAAGTATTTTATGCTCGTTGACGATTAAATATGTATATAGGGTGGACATTTCGTCTGAAACATTGAAGATATCTTCAAAAAAACATTTTTTATAAAGAATGTTATAAAAATTATAAAAAATGTGGTATCAATATATGTATATTAAATTTGTGGTCAGTGGCGTACTTCTGTATGGTCAAGGGGGGCATTTTTTATCAACGACAATTACTAGTTTTCCTTAAATTTTTTTTGATATAGCAGAAAAACCTTATTATATTACATAACCTAATTTAAGACAAATTCTCAAATTATTTTTCTGTACAGGGTGGCCAAATTTGGTCGTTAGTATGGGGTAATTCTTAAACTATACGTGGTAGAAAAAAATTGACCTCGTCCCGATGTATCTTTTGAGATAAAGTTATTGAAAACTAGCCTAACCGTCTTTTGTTCTTAAGTTATGGACAAAAGCTGCATTTTAAATTTTTAGATAAAAGCCTATAATTCCGTTGTTTATTAAGTTATCGGAGATGTGTTAATTTCAAATGTATCTAATGCATCTACCAGTTTCAAAATAAGTATACGGGGTCAAGTAAAAAGTTATCGGACCTAACCTCACTTTTTTAAATGGAAACCCTGTATATTTTAATCTATACAGACGGCATATGAAATTTTCTTAAACTCTAATCGATGGATATTAAAAAAAGTTTCAAGTAGTGCTTCAACAACATTCAAAAAGGTTTTTTTAAATTTCTTTAATCTTCTTTTTAACCTTTTTTTTTGAATTGAGGTTAGGGCCGACAACTTTTTTACCTGACCCATTATACCTATCTCTTATTTTGAAAAGTCGCGAAAAAATAATTTTGAAAGAAGCGGTTTTTAATTTGGAAGGCGTTTGTGTTTTTAAATCATCAGAATGTTTAAATTCTGAAATATTTTTACATTCAAAAGGCGTCTATAAATATTTTCAGGAATTACAGAATATTTAATTTTGGGGATAAGCTTCCCCAGAAAGCTTCAATTTTTAAATCAATCAGCTTTGTAAACCTCGTGATACTACTTTTAAAGGTGATTCCCTTTAATCAACTTTTATATTAATTAACGATGCTAATTTAGAACTCGTTGAGAAATAAAATTCATTTTTTAAAATGGATATAACATATTTTCGAATGTGGACATAAATCAATTATATCGTAAAAATTCGCTTACCATATTCTATGACGATGGACTAAATTTTATGATGCAGGTGATGTCCGAAATCCTGTTTGTCCATCTATTTCCTTGAAAAAGAGCCAAACTTGTTTGTGCGATCTAAAAATTAAAAAAAACGTTAATGGCTAGTCTTTATATCTAAAAAGTACGTTATCGCGATTGTTTCACTTCCGGATATGGTTAGCATAACTTTCTTATTTTAAATAAAACACCCTGTATTTGATCGTATTTTCGAAATCAACATGAAAATCTACGTCGTTTGATACCCCATTTCCCTATACCCAGCATCAATGGTTTTCAAGTTATTCAAGATTCATACCTTGTACAGAACAAGAAAAGTAGTCAAACGTGAAAAATTTGGAAAAATCTTGAAATAAACTTTTGGTGATAGGTATAGCGAAATGTTGTATCAAATATCGTAGATTTTCATGTAGATTTCGAAAATGCTATTAAAACTTCCACTGCCTTTAAAAGGTGTATTCTATCGATTTTCAAAATATCTAAATTATACCATTGTGATTTCTAGAATTGTTCTAACAACTTTAAGTACTTCTAATAAATAACCCTTCCGAAGAATTAATTATGAACTTAATTATAAGAAAGCAGATTAAACATGTAACAACGTTAGGGGATTGTAGAAGTTACCCAATTATATCTACTAAATTTGAAATCTTTTCCAAATTAAATTTACAAACTGTTACAAGTTCAAAAACTTTTAGGCAATTCTAAAGACCTAAGCGGAAACCGTGGGTTTAGTTTAGTAGACACCAACACCTGAAAATAGAAAAGTGTTGCACACCTGCCCCTTCAATTACTAAATATCGAATTATCTGTATCCATAGGTCGGTTATACAGCAGTTAACTGTTAAAAAATATGAGGAGATTCAAGTGATCAAATTTGTAATATTGTAATTGGCACAAAATACTCAATTATAAAATTTATTTATGGGATCGAGAAAGAGGTTTTAGTAGTTCTTTAGAATTTCATATAATCCTCACCACCACGGAGGGTAGCTGGTTGAAGAAAGATTATGATAAATTTCATATCATATATAGAGGGTGTTTTTTTTGAAGCGTTAAACGTGTCTGGGAAAGTAGGTAAGTTTTTTAAAATGCCAAATGTGTACTTAAGAGGTACTTCGAAGGCCGAATTTTACAAAATCTTCAGATGTACCTACACAACTACTCGACTTCCAAAATATATCATCTAACACGACTCCAAAACTCATCTTCACATTCGGGTATTAAAATATTTAACAGTTTACCACAACACAGAAAACTAAATATGTCAGTAACAAAATTACAAAATGCATTAAACTCTTGGCCAAAAGAGCGAGTTTTATAATTTTTATAATTAAATATTGAAGAATATTGCGAGTGGGTTAGAAGTATTGAACAAATATTTATTTAACATTTATGATTTACTCTCTCATTCTATAATCATATGAACTTTCGGTTTTTGCTTTTTCTCCATTTAGTTTATCTCGTTTATTTAAATTTAGTAGATATCATTAGTTCCCTACTGTTCCTAGTACCTTTCTTGGGTTACGCTTTGCTTTTTTTTTACTAATAATTAGAGCTTTAATTTATTTTATTTTGTTTTTTTTTGTACTTTGTACTGGGAATAAATATTATTATTATTATTTCATTGAATTGATACCAATTTTTTTCTGTTTTGTTTTTAGTAGTCGGTCATGATTTTACGTCAATCGAATTTTAAAGAAATCAAAGAAAGAATTCTTTAACAGCATTGATTGAAATTTGATTCTAATCTAAATAATTAATTAATAAAAAAAAGCTACAAAGTGGTAGGCTAATTGGAAAACACAAACTTTTATGAAAATAAGATCAAATTATTTTTAAAACCCTCTCTTTTACAATACATACTCAAAATGATTTACATACTTTACATCGATTCGACGTTCAGAGTAACTCCTATGAAAAAACCTACCTATTTCACTTTCTCAGAAACGTTTAACTAAAGCTCCCAAAAAAACAACCTGTACGAGTATTAACCTTAATTGAAAATTTGAAAGCTAAAGAAGAGTTTTGAGGAAAGAACAAAAATCCAAACGACACTTTTTAAAGAGCCAAGTTACCTTACAGCGTGGTTGTTTCTCTCTTAAATGTTAATGAATTAAGATTGATGAAAATGATACGCAACTCTCGCCTTTTCCGGCCCTTCCAGCGCAAATCAAATTAGAAAAGTACGGTTACAATTTACTGGTCCGAATAAATACTTTTTAGGTTACTGAATACTGACGGCAAGGAAATTTTTGAGGATCGAGGGTCTTTTTGAGAACTGAAAAGTTTCCATTTAACCTGTACCTACGACTTGTTAATGACTAATGCAATGTTTAAGCACGGTTTCGCTTCCCAAATGAGCTTCCCCATACGAAAAAAATGACTGATTGAACGAATTAGAGTGACCAAAAATTTGCATGCAATACACGTAAAAAGTTATATTAGAACAACTGACATCATACAAAAAGTTGAATTGAAAATTGTTATTGTTTCCATAAAATTGTACTTACCTACTAATAATTCTTCGAAAACGCCGATGTTCAAGCTGGAAATGGGTTGAAAATCCGGGAAGCCATCCAAGTTTCTGATAATAGCCTTTTAAACGAGCAGAATTTCCATGTACACGTTACCATAACTGTTAATAAAAGAAGGAAACACAAATCAAAATAGGTATTGTAACGCTGATTTGAATGGTACGAGATGCAGTTAAATACTAAACGTGAATTCTTTCCATACACAAAGGTCAGCGTCGCCTGATAATAACTTGTTTGACAATTACACCACAAACATATTGTTATATCGATCGCTCATTTCAAGTGAATCATATTTATACTTGAATAAAGACCTTGTAAAGTTTGGGTTAATTTAATAAACTGATATCTTTTGCATCAAACTAATTTCGCATTCTGGATTCTGGGTCACTTAAATCTTTTCACGGTGGGCACCCCTTTCCCATTGAACATTTTAATCTTTTTAATCTTTGCTTAATATGCTCTTCAAATGTGGAAACTGCTGTGTTGTGGCTATATACAGCAACAGTATTTAGGCACCTGTACGTCCCTTGGTCAATTTCTAAATTACATAGGTACCTAGGTACGCAATTTCGCTAGACACTGGAAGCTGGAAGCATTGACTATGCTTTCTAAACTGTAAAATTGGGTCAGAAAATGAGAGCCAGTATTGCACTCACCTCCCTCAATTCTTGCATAATTAATTCCTCGATTACAGTCTTTTCACACATCGGGGAACCTCAAAAGTTCCAGAACTGAGGGACTACATTCGTCCTCCATATTTTCAAAATTGGATTTTATCGGGCGAATCATCTGTTGATGATTTTCAATTTGAATATTTAAATGAAAATGAGATGCTGCTGATTGGATTTCGCCCCTCGCCATCCCAATTTTAAATTTCTACTATTCGATTACTGAACTACTTTTAAAATGCAAAGGCTCTAAATTTCTGAGAAACGGTGTTCAGAACTCTAATGTTTAAAAATATGGACACCCCTTCTAACCCATAACTACGCGCGTTTTGTACCACACGCACTTTAGAAGGTATACGTGGTTTGTTTCTCTCTTAAATGTTAATTAATTAAGATTGATGAAAATGAAGTCTCGTGACTTTGGCCCAGTGAAACAAAATCGAGTTCGATTATTTCTGAGGCTGTTTCTTAGCGTTTTTACACCCCCCTCTCTTTCAATCCCACTTTTTTGGTCTCGAAATGAATTTGATACGCAACTATCACCATTTTTCCGGCCCCTTCGGCGCAAATCAAATTAGAAAAGTACGGTTACAATTTACTTGTCCGAATAAATGCTTTTTAAGTTACTGAATACTGACGGCAATGAAATTTTTGAGGATTAAATATTCAATCAAGGGTCTTTTTGAGAACTGAAAAGTTGCCATTTAACCTGTACGACTTGTTATCGCTTCCAAAATGAGCTTCCCCATACGAAAAAAATGACTAATTGAACGAATTAGAGTGACCGACAATTTGCATGCAATACACGTAAAAAGTTAATCGTCTAATGGCCGTTTCTGAAATATTATTAGAACAACTGAGATCATACAAAAAAGGCTAAAACCGTGTATAGATTAAAAAGTTGAATTGAAAATTGTTATTGTTTCCACAGAATTGTACTTACCTACTAATACTTCTTCGAAAACGCCGATGTTCAAGCTGGAAATAGGTTGAAAATCCGGGAAGCCATCCAAGTTTCTATAGCCTTTTAAACGAGTAGAATTTCCATGTACACGTTACCATAACTGTTAATAAAAGAAGGAAACACAAATCAAAATAGGTATTGCTATTGTAACGCTGATTTGAATGGTATGAGATGCAGTTAAATACTAAACGTGAATTCTTTCCATACACAAAGGTCAGCGTCGCCTGATAATAACTTGTTTGACAATTACACCACAAACATATTGTTAAATCGATCGCTCATTTCAAGTGAATCATAAGTATTTATACTTGAATAAAGACCTTGTAAAGTTTGGGTTAATTTAATAAACTGATATCTTACTTTTGTATTAAACTAATTTCACCCTCCTTTTTCAGTTCATTTCCCATTTAACATTAACACTTCTTTAGTAAAAAAAAAGACAACAAAATTCTGCGTCGATCAAAGGATGAACAAATAAAATCGGTCTAATAGAAAAATTGTTAAAAGCGATCAATAAACACCCATTTTTTCCAACTTTTCTAATGAATTAACCTTTTTTTAATGTGTTGTGGCTCCTAAATGAACGGTATAATCCATTAAGTACTCCCTTCCTAAAGATTGTAGGACATCCGAGTTCAAAAAGTACCAAAAATTTAAAATTGGACCAATTTTTCCAATGTTGGAAATTATTGAATGAGCCGAAATGAACAAGACACGTCCAAATTGTTTGAATTGCTCCCCCCAACACTACTACCCTTTCACTGCAACTGATGCCCTCATGCCACTAAGCAGCGGAATTTGTGACGTTTAAGCCATAAAGGTCAGTCCGCCTTACCCCTTATCTAATAACTGGCAAGCGAAAGTGTATTTCATTTTATATAAATTGTAAGGTGCTGCGTCATGAAAACAGCAACCCCAAACTTGTCAACTCCCTAAGAACATTGTTTTGGGTGTAATGCTTGCCAAAACCACGTCTTTTGTTCAAGTTACTAATGATTTTGGGCATTTTGGACCTTCTACATTATTTCAAGTTGTCTTTAAAAACACACCAACACTTCTATTCCCCAATGACATCGTTTGTGGTTGTGTTACCACCATAATAATTTCATTTCCGAAATTCCTTAACTAACACGCTTCAACTACAGTATTTTTAGTTAATTTTCATATAAAATTTTATAGCTTGGTGTGATAAATAGCCCCCGAAATTCAAAAAACATCGTTTTTAGATGTTTCACTTACCCAAACCACGTCTTTACGCAATGGGCTAATGAATTTGAATTTTCTACAGCATTTCTAATGTGCTTTAGAACATCCCTAGGGGTGTCCTTTGGGGATCACAAAAGCACCTTCTTGGGTAGGAATTTTACAGATCAGAAAGGCATACCAGAAACCTGGGTATAGTCACAAGTTCAATCGTTCCATTTGTCATGGTTGCTGAGACAAAAACCATTAAACACTCATGCAAGAAGTATAATAATACAAGTTCAATACAAAATAATCTGGTCTGAATATGCGAAAAATGGAAATCCACTTTTCGATTTTCCAACTCTAAAAAAGTTTGTGAACGTTGATATATTAATGAATTTTTGGACCAAATAAATGCCTCTAATAAGGACCCGGATTTAACATGAATACAGAGAGAAAGAATGAAATTGCTAGTCACCCTTTTCGAACAGTTTTTAGGCATGAGGTGACTCAATAATCTGGAGTTGCATGTTTCGATTTCAAGACCTTTCATTTTGCGAAGGAGGTATTTAGTTCACTCGTATCAAATTAACTCAAAATTAGTAAACTCTGCAACAATTATTATTAAAGCTAATAAAACGGCAAATGTGGTTTTTGTTAAGAATGAAATTATCAACAGACTTCTAAAAACACCTGTTCAAAATGCCGACGCCGCCGACACAATGGACTACACATGTTTTTCTAATTTTAGACTTGGATAGATAAGATGATTGTAATTGTCGTGTATAAATTTTTGATTTGGAAAATGATTGATTGAAACTAACGGCAGTTACATGTGTGGAGGTAAATTTCCATACACAATATTTAGTCACACTTCACCTATTGTCCAACTCCAAAATCATTTTGCATTGTATGCCCAATGATGTTAAAATGTAAAAATCCAAATTACTTACTGCATTTTACGCGGTACCTAATCTGTGCTTGTCAAAATTCACCCTTAGCGTTCTTGCTTTCGGTACTTGGCACTCTCCTTCGAACCATTTGAAAATTTTGGAGACCATTCCGCACAATACGCACTGCACTTCGCGTTAACACGATCGAATGATTTGGTTATAAGTTATATTTTTGATATGGAGGGGCGGTAACGTAAGCAGGTAGATTAATCACCTAATGCTCTTATCTGCACATGCGGTCACTTTTACCTTTCAATAATTGTTTCGCCGTACCGAATGAAATCGTTCCTGATAAAATATGACACGCGAACTACAATTTTTTAATCCATGAGATTGTGTTCTAAATTAATTTTCATTCTCGCATGGAAAAGGCGAAAATCTGACTTTCCCTGTCCACCTTCCAATTGCATTTTATCACTGAAATAGTTTTCTTTGGCTCGTTCAAAAATAAACTTTAGCTTCTAATTGTTTTACTCAATATTTTAAATATAACAATCGCAAATATTGTTATTAAGTTTCTATATATGAAAGCGGCGGTGGCAAAGTATTGGAATGGAGTGTCAAAAGCAAGTATGGGGAAAAATTTAAGAAGATTTCGAAAGGATTTTGTTTGTGAATTGAACTCGCCTGAAAAAGTTTAGGATGTATCTGTACTGTACTCACAGTACATACAGAGTGGCCCAACGAGAAGTATACAGAGGGCTTTTAGGGTATTAAATTTATAAATTTCGAATAATCCACGTCAATTTTGTATTCGAGGGGGACAACTTTTGGAATACAAATCACGAACCCAAGTCTTCACCTCTCTACGTAGGGAGCTTAACCCCTAAAATTTTAAATGGAATCCTATGGTAAATGGCACATTATTTGAAAGCCAATTTAATCGTGATTACTAATCTGCTTTGCTTTTTAAATTTTATTGATTCGTTTCGGAGATATCCGCATTTGAAGTGGTTTTTTTCCCTGATTTAAGTCCTTTAGATTACTTCTTGTGGGGATATTTAAAGAATAAAGTTTATGCTACTCCGCCCGGAACATTACAAGGGTTGCGAGCACGTATAACCATAGTGTAAGAATAGAATACCCTATGGTATAACTCCACAATTTCGAGCGATTACCCCTGAAATCTTGCAACATGTACGGCAGCGTTTTGAAGCAAATCTTTATTTTTGCATGGACGCAGGCGGAAGGCAATTCGAGCATCTATTGAAATAAATGTTGTCTGTTTAAAGTTATTTGTTATTTTTTGCACAATTTAAACCTTTTTTTAATACAAGGTGACTTAGATCGCATTTGTTTGGTTTTTTTTAGAAAAAACAATTTCAACTGCGAATATCTCCGAAACGAATCAATAGAATTTAAAAAGCAAAGCAGATTAGTAATCACTATTAAATTGGCTTTCAAATAATGTGCCATTTGCCATAGGATTCCATTTAAAATTTTAGGGGTTAAGCGTCCTACGTAGAGGGGTGAAGACTTCGGTTCGTGATTTGTATTCCAAAAGTTGTCCCCCTCGAATACAAAATTGACGTGTTCGAGGATTTTTTGAAATTTCTAAATTTAATACCTTAAAAGCCCTCTGTATACTTCTCGTTGGGCCACTCTGTATACACGGTCTCCATTTTTGGAGTTTCGTTTATCTTAAGAGATAGAAAGTGGGTTAAATGGGGGCAAAGTTGGGAATTTTCATGCTGAATAATATCTAATCTGAGAAGAAATTTAAAATTTCTTTAATAATTTTGTTAATATCGCAAAAACGAAACTGATTTTCGTTTTTAATTTTTTTATGATAAACTAATCGTACGATGGGCACCGTGTATATATCCCAAATATGAGATAATGGATCCACTACATTAAAACTAAGGCGAATTACCTGGGTCCTCATCAACCCTTTGAATATTGTAAAGGGTACCTAGTCTGAAATACACCAAACAGAAACTTAGGCTTGGTTGAAAAATGTAGCAATCTTTCGCAGGGCGCGACAATCCCACTTAAGGGGATGGCATGTTGGATGGAGTTAAATTTGGTCTCCTCATCGACGCAAATTGCCCTCTTCCGTAAAAGGAAAGATTCAATGTTCTTTTCCCTACACCATCTTCGGACGCTGGCTGTCGAATATTTCATACACCCCAGACCAAGGTCGCTGTTAGCCTCGACGGGCCCCGGGAATATTATTTGACCGGGCCCCTATAATTGAAATTTTTATTGTCCATCACCCTTATCTTAAACTAGACATTTTCAATCTTGACTACTTAGATTTGAAAGGAGAACATTTGAATAATTTTCATGCAGACACAGTAGTTTTCATAATTTATTATGAATTGCTAGAATTCAAATAACCAAATTACAATGTAATTCTGCGGATTTTCTTATTAGCAAAAGTGAAAATCACTCGCTCAAAATTAATTTCTCTAGCAAGTTGCGCTTCAAGAGCTAATAATGTACCGAGATTGATCTAACGATCTTGACCCATAGTCGATCCCAAACGGTTTTTTACCTAGCGAGCCTTCTGCCGCTGTGCCGTAATTGGGAAATTTTGCTCAATGGTATGGTTTTTTAAATCTTCTGCTGTGCATTTTTTTATATTCTACTCTCTCATATAGAGATATGCATATGTAGATTTCTGCTAAAAAACAGGTTTCAAAATCTCTTTTGGCCGGGCCCCCAGAATACGACCGGGCCCCGGGGCAAATGCCCCGGCTGACCCCCCTTATCGGCGGCCCTGCAGTCCAGACCACCCCGTTCCACATTCTTCCCCAAAACCAACCACTTACACCATAATTGTAAGAAAGAGACCTGGAGTCCGTGAGGTGCGGAATCTTCGTTATAGGGAAGCTAGATTCGATGTCCCAAAGCGTTAAATTTGTGAAAACATTCACTATCTGTGCTAGCCACAGCAATTTTTTATACTTTGCTC